CAACACATATGGAGGAGCTGGAGGGATGGCACAGTGGTCTGGGGCACACACTGCTGTCTCAGAGGACTATAGTTCTTAGACCCATGTCAACTGTCTGTAACTCTAGTGCCAAGGGATTTGATGTCCTCTTGGCTTCTGACACTGGCACCCTCACACATACACAAACAAAGATATTTGTGAAGAGTCAGTTTTCTCACCAACTAGTTGCACAAGGAAAACTAGGGAGGAGAGTGGCTTAAGTAATCTCTATGTCAGGTGCTATGTCAGGTGTTTTAATTAATAAGTTCAGCCTAATAATTAAAACAGAAACGTCATTTCAAGAATATGTGAAGAACCCTGAATCTGTGTCATTAGCTTACTTGTGACTGATCTTAAAAAGTACTCTTATTTCTTTAGTTTTCTATAGTTTGTGTGTGTGTGTGCGCGCACGCATGGGTGTGTATGTGTATTTGAGTGTGCAGTCATGTATCATTGTGTCTGTGTAGATCAGAGGACAAACGGCTGGACTTGGTTCTCATCTTCCACTATGTGGTACCCAGTGATCAAAGTCAGATCATTAGGCTTGACATCGTGTCTTCTGTATGTTCCTTGATTACAAGAGACTAATTTTTGTTTTGGGAGTATTTGCATTTGTTTGTCTGAGACTTTTTTTTTTTGAGATAGGGTTCCTGTCTGGCCAAAAAGTCATTATGTGGACCAGGCTGGTCTTGAACAAATAGAGATCTACCTGCCTCTGCCTCCTAAATGCTGGGACTAAAGGTGTGTGTACCACCACCTACAGCTGAGACTGGACCTGTAAATCCCAGTTATTCAAGACTGAAGCAGGGGACCATATGTTCAGGACCTTCATTGACTACAGAGAAAGTTCAAGGCCACGCTGAGGACTTAGTGAAACTGTCTCAAAACAAAGAGAATTTATTCATTTAGGGATGTAATACAGCTTAGTACTAAAGTGTTTGCCTGGCATAAAACCCTAGGTGTCCTCCCCAGTACCATTTAAAAAAGAAAAAAAAAGCGGAAATTAGCCACACATTTGAGGCTCTTCTGAATGGAGATTACTAAATCACCAGGTTTCTTGGAAGGGTAATCTAAATTGGCATTTTATTCTTGAGCACTGGAGTTGTGCCAGTTAGAATCATGAAGAAATGAGTGGCTGGTCTCTACACCAACTGCATTGTGTAACCGTCAGCTTCCATACAGTATCCCGTGCTGGTGCTCAGCTGTAGTACTCTCAGTGTCTTTGCAGACACAGTTGTGCTTGCTGTGTCGTTGTTTAGGAATTAATTTCCTTCGGAACACTAAGTAGGTACTCTCTGATACTACAAGCATATGGTCATTTTCACATGGTGCTATTTTTTGTAAAGTATACTTTCTTTCCATCACCGGCATCTGCTTCCTCAAAGATAATTCAACAGAAACAGAAAAATGATAGCAATTTAATGTCTTTTCTCACTCAGAGCAACAGATTTTCTAAAACCCAAACATATGCTTATCTTATTTCAAGAAATTGTACCAAAAGAAATGGACTATTGATTGGCATCTCATAGGATACATTTAACTATCTACATTTATCCAAAAGTAAAACTGTAAAGGGGCAGTGCGTTCCAGTACTGTGGGGTGATCTTTTTGTTTGTTTGATTTGGTTTGCTTTGGTTTAATCTGAAGAGACTAGGGCATCAGTGGAATAATGAAAGAGGACCCAATCATGGCAGTCAAAGGGCAGACCACCTGCTTTGTAATATACAGTGAGATGAGCTGGAGAGATGGCTCATCATTTAAGAGCACTGGCTACTCTTCAAGAGGACCCAGGTTCAGATCCTGGCACCCACATGGTAGTTCGCAACCAACTATAATTTCAGTTCCAGAAGATCCATTGTCCTTTTTTGGCCCCTAAAGCCACCAGGCACACACTTTGTATACAGCCATACATGTATAGACATACATGTAGGCAAAACACTCACACACATTAAAATAATAAATTTAAAAGTTTATTTTTTAAAATCCAGTGGGATAACTTTGCCCACACTGCCGTTTGCCAGTCCCTACATGTGCTTCATCTCAGTTCCTTCTTCTTTCCCATTAAGAACTATTTAAAAGTCTTTCTTGAGGTGGGGAGAAGGATCCAATGTAAGAGCCGGAAGATGGGGAGGAGTGTGCTGTGAAACACTGTACTCAGGACACCAGAGGGCCATTTTGTTTTTCTAACTGAGGCCAGTGGGTAAAATCCTGTGACTTGTAGCTCCATTTGGCTCCCATGATACTCTCTTCACTCCTTTCTCCCATGATAAGGACTCATTCTCATATCTGAGGCCATCCCTGTCAACACTGCTGCACAGCTGAAGATGTTATTCCTTCAGTGGAGATGTCTAGCAGAATTCTGTGTCTTCCTCCAGGCTCTTACATTACACACACACACACACACACACACACACACACACACACACATCTCACACTTCTGGCAAAGCAACTCCTACATAAGTTGATGTAAATCCATCTCCAGACTCTGTTTCTTCTTGTTTTTGGGTTCTTTGCAACTCCTACAGAACCTAACAAGAAGTATTTGGCAAATACGTGCAGAACAGACAATTCCCACTTTCAGGCATGAGTTACTCTCTATAGCTCAAGAGCTGCGCTTGCCCCAGATTGTCTGCAGAGCAGCATATGACTTCTGCTCCACTTTGTTTTTTTCAACCCATAAGTGACCCAAAAAAAGGGAAGAAGGAAATGTTTTCATTATAGGGTTTCCAGAAAAAAAAATGTCTGCCCAATCCAAACTAGATTTCAGAGAACCAACTAATAATTTTAAAAGTATAATTCCAAGTATCATAGTGACATGTTTAAATTAAAACAGTATCTGCTGCTGATCTGAAATTTAAATCTAGTGAAGCAATCTGCATTTTTATTTGCTAAATCTAATAACCCTAAAAATGAATTTTTAAAAAAATCCTTGGAGGATGCAAGGTCTGCTTCCTCGACACACCTGGAAGTTTGTGTCTGAGCTCTGCAGACTTCTCAATTAGCCAGATTTTTACATCTGTGAACGCAGCTGGGCTTATTTCTGAGCAGTTTGGTGAAATGCTTTAGGAAATGTTGCCTGTTACATAATGGTTCCCTTATTTTGTTAATTCTATAGAATTCCTTTATAATACCACCTATCAGTGATTTTTTAGCACAGCAGCACAGACACTGATGTTGGCATCAAAATCTCTTGAAAAACTAACATTCATATATTTTTTAGTTGAATCAGCAAGACACAGTAGAGAAAATGAGAGCAAAATTTCATTTCAGGGTTTTTTCTTCATTAATTGAATACAGCAACGCATACTGTCCTCCGACTGGGGGAAGCAGCCTGCCAGGCGGGGGTGGAGCCCAAGACGTAACTGCAGTAGGTCTTTGTGGGAAGATCCTTTCCTAAATGTGAAATATATGTATGCAAACTGAAGCCCCGGCCCTCCTTGTACGTGCGGACTTGCGAGAATCATTGCTCTCTCATTCTTCACAAGAAGGCTCGAGCTTTCGGCCAACAAAAGAATTCCTTATAGATGGGGCACGATTACCTATCTGTCTCCCACACACCTGGGGTTGGGGGGAGATGACTCTCTGTAAATGAATACCACCTTAGGATACTGACAACTATGCAGTGTGTCAGTTTACTGGTTAATTGTGATGGCACAACACAAGTTATGAAGTTCAAAGTGTGAGTCTCCTACAATCCAGAAAGTTCTCTGAAATAAAACATTATTTTGCTGTTCTTAACAGCAATCTCTTACAGAGAAAGCATTTGTTCTTCCCCCTATAAGACAGGTTAAGAAGAAATATCTCCTAAGGACGAGGAATAACAAGAATGTGTGCCTTTGGCAAAATTCAACCAGATTGATCTCAAAAGGAAACTTCTAGGGAGAAAATGACTAAGACTGTTGTTACTCCGTGTTGTCATAAGACAACAAGAAATAATGACGTTTATCCCAATGTCGGCATGCTACCTGCTTTCCACCATATTGGCAATAGCAGTTAAGGACGGTTGTCAAACGACCAACACAACATGCACACGCTGCTGAGATGCAGAACAAAGCCTGGATGGCTGCCTAAAATCGGTCTCTCCAAATGACAGCCCCAATTTATGACACCAGTCTAAGGCTTGCGAGGATCTGCAATGTCTTTTTCTCTGTTGGTGTGGAGAAAGATGAAATTTGGAAAGCTCCAAGCAGTGGCCGGGGCTTCTGTCTGTGCGGGGCAGAAAGGCTTACACACATATTCATTAAACTTGATCTGAAGCAAGCGAGTCTGTGAGGTCGTTTCTGAAATATTCATAAGGTCTGTTACCGGACTCGCCACTTAGAGGTTGAGCAGAAACACGAAGGGAGGGGGGGGCAGTCAGTGCCCACACTTGAAAATAAAGCCACTAGGAAAAACAGCACACCTCGCTCCACTGTTCCTGTTTTAACAGCTCTCAGGGCTGTTCTCCGCCTGCCTGTTCAACTGCACCTGCCCGGGAGATGCTCCAAGAGTGGAGTTTCCCAGAGTGGGAGGAGGTGCGCTCGCCAGCCCAGCAGCCCTGGCTCAGGGTGGAGGCTCAGAGACCTCCAGTCTACAGCTCTGCCACTCTGCTGCCTGGCACCGCCCCGAGGCCTGACCAGCAGGACAGAGGGCTCCCCGGGGGCCAGGACCCCCACTGACCCCAGCCAGGCCGCCCTTTGTCCCCGCTTGGGATCCCTCCCTAGGCATCAGCAGTGGCGTTCAGTCGCTAGGCGACCCGCGCCCCCGGGGACGCAAACAGCTTCCAGCGCTGACCCGCAGCGCCACGGGTGTTAATTTCCCGGCTCAGGATGAGAAAGAGGATTTATAGTCTTGGGTGACTCCGGCGCTCCTGCACCCAGGTAGTGAGCACTTTCATCCATGTCCCCTCTGTCCCCATTTCTTTTGTACCCTACACAGGTCAGCCGCCACCTCTCTTTTCTCCAAGGACATTTACCCTTAGCTCCTCTGGGGTCACGACTTACCGGGGCAGGGACAGCGGTGGGCTCAGCAGCTCTGGGATCGCGACAGTGTGGTCTCCATCTCCGCCTTCGCTTCTGCTACTCACTAGCGACCGTGATCGCCGCGTCTGATCCCCGCGCGGATGCTGGACAGAGGCGGCCGAGGCTGCCGCACTGGCTGCGGGCGCGGGAGGGGCGGGGGCGGGGCGGGAATCTGGGTCGCGTGGAGCCCTGCAAGCCGGGATGCACCCTGGGCAGCGGGCAGAGAGGAGGCGGCCGAGAGCAGCTGGGGAGGGCGTGCAGAGGTTTCCCTGGGAGCAAGACGCGGGCGGCTACTGAGCATGCTCAGTCGTGGAACCCCGGGGCGCGGGCGCGGTGGGGAGGAGTGAGCGCAGCCCCCCCCCGCACCCCCTCCCCCGCTCCAGAATGTGGGAAGAAAGGGTTAAAACTGCGATCTTGCCCTCGGTGGCCTAGTTTAATTGTACAGGAGTCAGAGTAGACCATCCCTAAAGAAGTTCAGGGCTGTGAACCTGGGGAGACCTGTCAGTGGGATTCCTGAAGAATCTAGGGCAAGGCGTGTTTTCCAGTTCCTCCCTGGAGGACTGTCCAGAAGTCAAAGTTTGTTTTTAGTTCATCTCTGACCTCCTCTCAATCCGGATACCTAACCCTCACTTGCTTTCCTGTATGTTCTAACTCCCAAGCATCTCCTTCCTCCCCTGACTCTTGGACAGGTCAGGTCAAGTTGTCAAAGAGCCAGCTCTTTAATTAGGTGTAACTGAGAGCTCAGGTCGGTCTTCCCAGGTCCATACCTGTGTTTCATCCAGGGTTTCATAAACAATAGCTCATTACAAGTTTAAGTATAATGGGATGAATTATAGATATCACGGTCTGCAGTTATTTGAGGGAACACTACCTCGCAGTGGAATGGCCTAACTCCTGAACACCCACCCCCTTTATTCAGTCCTAGTTTCAGTTTTATGTAGAACATCTTTATAGATAAGAGTTTCCATTCAACACAGAGAAACTGACTTCTTCAAAAGGCTTTGATTTTGCTCATGGGGTTTCGTTCTTTCTGGTTTACCTTACCCCTTGGTTCTACTCTCTGTGATCAATGCTACCTTCTCTGGAAACGCGGCTCCAATACAAGTTAATGCCTGACTGTCTGAGATCAATCATCCCGGCACACTGTTGGTTACTGCTGTATAAGAAGGTAAGACAACGGAGCCAACTGTTTTGTACAGGCACTGAACAATGTGTCGAGAAAACAACAACAAACAAGACAGACAGGGTTTTCCTCCTCAGAGAATTTACAATCTGCTGAAAAGGATAAGCAGGCCAGCATGGTGACAGCACTTGGGAGGCAGAAGCAGGTAGATTTCCTGAATTTGAGGGCAGCCTGGTCTACATAGCAAGTCCAACAAGAACCATAAAACCAGAGACAGGCAATAAATACCTAAAATAGAGATTACCATCAAGGACAAAGGTCAAGTTGTTTTTGACTCTGTGTTGGTTGTCAAATGAATCTACAGAGACTTGACTCATCTCTCTGAAACAATGGATAAAAGTATTAATATTGGCCCCAGGCTAACCAAAGTGCATGGGTCCTTGCTACTCTGTTGTTAAACCATTGATCTTTCTGTTTTCCCTTTCATTTGGTTCCATAAGCTAAAACTTCTAATGTCTATTTATAGAAAGAACCTGCCATCCCAAGTAATGAGTAAGAGGTATGTGTTGGGGGAGGCAGAGCATCCGGTCTCCACATTATTATCTAATTTAAGGAACAGTATTAATTAAATGGCCAAAGTCAACCTAGGGTCCCAGACCTCATGAATCTCTTACCACCTATACCTGTATTTACAGAAATAGTTATTCTCCACCTATACCTGTATTTACAGAAATAGTTATTCTCCAAGATACATCATTTGACTCTTCACACCTTCCTGCTCTCTGGATGACGTAAGTATTTCACTCTGATCCTGTTGTTGTCGTCTGAGCCTGAGAACCAGCTCTCCTGAAGCGTGTTTGTATATGAGTATCCATGATGATTAATGACCAAACCACTTTGACATGGTGTAATGTGGGCACCTCCAGGGTAAGATCTCATTCATCTTTTTATTAAAGAACTTAGCAGATGACTAATAGGTAGGGGATCCTCAGTGAGTTTACCAACTACAGGAATGCTACTCCTTCAGACCACAGTTCTTTTTAATGGGTCTTCCTACTAACTGTGGAATAAATTCCACCTCATGCAACTTAATTTGGCCCTTGCCTGGTCTATGAATTTCCCATTAGCCACAAATATACATTTTTTTCTTCTGGGTTATGAACTTTTGTATTTACAAAAAGGAAAAAGAAGAAGGAGGAGGAGGAGGAAGAAGAGGAGGAGGAGGAAGAGGAGGAGGAAGAGGAGGAAGATGAAGAGGAGGAGGAGGAGGAGGAGGAGGAGGAGGAGGAGAAGGAGAAGGAGAAGGAGAAGGAGAAGGAGAAGGAGAAGGAG